GTAGAGACGGGGTTTCACCATATTGACCAGGATGGTCTCGATCTCTTGACCTCGTGATCCACCCGCCTCGGCCTCCCAAAGTGCTGGGATTACAGGCTTGAGCCACCGCGCCCAGCCTTATATATTTTTTAAATTGAGACAGAGTCTCGCTCTGTCACCAGGCTGGAGTGCAGTGGTGCGATCTCAGCTCACTGCAACCTCCACCTCCCGGGTTCAAGCAATTCTCTGCCTCAGCCTCCTGAGTAGTTGGGATTACAGGCGCCCACGACCACACCCGGCTAATTTTTTTTTTTTTTTTTTTAGTAGAGATGGGGTTTCACCATGTTGGCCAGGCTGGTCTTGAACTTCTGACCTCGTGATCCACCTTCCTTGGCCTCCCAAAGTGCTGAGATTACAGGTGTGAGCCACCTGGCGAGGCTGTGTTTCATACATTCTTAATGAGTTGTAGGGAGGGGCTGAGCAGGCAGGTCAGCTACTGGTCCTCTCTGCAACTAGGCCTACCTGTTACATAAGGCTCTGAGGGGAGCTTGCTGGGAGACCTTGACTGGGGCAGCCGATCATCCAACCTTGCCTTGACATGTGGAGAAGGGGAAAAAGCAGAGCCCTAGTTTAGAACTAGCTAAACTAGCTGCTCTACTGGCCAGGATAACTTTTCTTTTGTCCCACAGAGTGGCCGTGAGGGTCAGCCAAGCCTGTAGGTGCAGAATCTAAACCATCTCAAACCTCAGTGTGCATCCCAAGCCCATTCCTTATCCCATCCATGCCGCCCTTTTTCTAGGCAAAGGACAAAATCCTTCCCATGGCAGGTCTGCGCCTTTCTAAAGTAAATGTTCGGCTTGCGGATCCCCCTATGCTCTGCATCCCAAGTATTAACTCTCTCCTCCGTCACCACATAGCTCACAGGCAATAACCTTTCGATTACCCTAGCGAATTGGATCCTCAGTCCCCAGTCCAATCTACACCCTCTATTCTTTTGAAGAATCTACACCAGCTCTCTTCTGTAGACTCCAGACCTGTCACCCTACCCACGTGACATCTTCAACTTGAGACGCCTGAGAATCACACTGGCCAAACTGCAACCCATGATCTTCCCCATGAAACCTACTCCTCATGCTGCTGACTTCCCCGACTTCATTCTTTCAGATGTTCGGGCAAAAAAGAAAAAAAAAGGTCCATCAGTCACTATTTTTACTCACAGGCATATCTGATACAGCAAGAAAACCTGCTGGATCTGTCTTCCAGGTCTATCCAGAATCCCATCACATGGCCCCTATCCTACCACAGCTCTGGTCCAGCCTCTGGGATCCACCGCAGTGTGGCCTCTTCTCAGTGTCTCTGTGTCAATTCCCCATCCTGCTTGTTTTAATTTCAGATGTCTAATTCTGGACCTGCCCCTCCCACTGGTCCTCCCTTGACAACCTTCCACGGTTACCGGCTGCTCAGGTTACCATGCCAAGCGAGAATTCACAAAACCCTCTCTCTCGGCAGAAACCACACGCACTCCGGGCTCCACGACGCGGCCCACTCGGCAGCGCCTCCATGCCCTGAACTGGAGGTCCCCGATGGGAGCTCTGAGGCTGCATCAAACCAGCTGATACGGGGACCCCACACGGGAACGCCCCTCTCTTCGGGACAAGGAGCCTGACCTGCAGGGCCCCTTCTGGGTGCTTCAGCACTGGAAGGAGGGGCGGGGGTGAGACGGGACACCCTCCTCAGTCAGGTTCATCGGCGCGGTCTTCGACAGCGCAGCCAGGTAAGAGCCGCGCGGGGGCGACAAAGGCAAGACAAGGACACCGCCGTCCGCAGCGCTTGTCAGTAGAGCCTCTGCCACTGTCAGTTGTGCCTCTGTCACTTCCGCCTTTGCGCAGTGGGATCCAAGCCGCTTCTAGCACTTTTCGGCTCCGTCACTTCGATGACTGCCAAGCCGGAGCTGGTGGAAACACCAGAAAGAACCAAATCAACCACCGCCAGGAGGTCGCCGGAAGTTTTGCACGCACGCACGCACGCACGCACGCACACGTTCCTTCCTGCGCCTTCGCGGGTTCAGTCGCGCCACCGAGAACCGCAGTGTCTTCTGGGTCGACGCCGCTTTTGGACTTGCTTTAGAGCGTCGGTCAGTAGTTAAACGGTGGAGTGCGGCACTCTAAAGACTAGACGGGACTTGGCTTATTCCAAAAGGCGACGTAACCAGATTTTCTTGAAGCAAGATATAGGACACTCACAGAAATGTGAGGAACCCATTATTTCGGATTGTAAAGCACAGCAAGCTCCCAGTGGCTACACCTCCAAAGGCACACCCCATACCGTAAAGGCACTCTTGTCTCTACTCGTGCCTGTTAGCCATATTGTTACCTTTCAAATACACACAGTTAAGCTTTGACTTTTGTTTTTTAAGCTTCAATCTGGTTGGTCCAAAAGGAGAAAGAAAGACTACATGGCCGGGAATTCGCACAAATGATGACACGAGATATTGAAGTAGATTGAAAGGCTGAAGCTATGCCTCTGGATCCAAGAGAAAGCATCATTACTGTCTGTAGAGTCAGTGACTGTGTTCCTACCAAGAGTGCAATGCTTTTATTCTAATAGTACTTATTACTTCATATCTGAGATATTTACATTTATTTTAAAAGTCTCAATCCTATCTGAAAATGAGAGTCACTGATACATGCCATTTCCTGACAGGAGATTTTCTGCCATTCCATTGTTGGACAATATGTACATAGGGAAGGTATTATCCCAAATAAAAACTGTGAAATTTCATGATCTTATCTCCTTCCTGATAAGTGAGTTGTTTTACAGGGAGTTGAAATTATCTGTGAAAACAGAAATCTACTAATAATGATTGTTAGGTTCTGAAGAGAAGGCGACAGTTAAAGAAAGGCAGAGAGTTGGCAGCTTTAAAGCAATGCAGTTTTTATGTCCAGTACAAGACCTGCAATGGCTGTTGTCGCCCAGGCTGGAGTGCAATGGCACAATCTCGGCCCCCTGCAACCTCTGCCTCCTAGGTAGCGATTCTTCTGCTTCAGCCTCCTGAGTAGCTGGCTTTACAGGCGCCCGCCACCACTCCCTTTTTTGTTGTTGTATTTTTAGTAGAGGCGGTTTCAACCTGTGGGTCAGGCTAGTCTGGAACTCCTGACCTCAGGTGATTCACCCACTTCGGCGTCCCAAAGTGCTGGGATTACAGGCGTGAGCCACTGCACCTGGCCCAAAGATGTTCATAACGTGTTACTGAGTGGTTTGGCCCTTTTCCTGGCAGGATGTGATAGTGACAGCCCTTGGACCTTTTGCCAGCTTGATGTGATAAGAAAGTCAGGCAGTTGGGCAGAATGTTTCTCAAGGCCTTTACTCCCATGGAATGCTGCACTCTGACCAAGATCTGTTAAATGGCAGGGGGCTTACAGAATGGTGCAGTTTGGACTAACAATGATCATGTTGTTATCGGAAATAGATGCTCAGTGCCACAAGAAAAATCAGAACGGAGACAAAGGATCTTTCAGCAATGCAATTTTTACTTCCTGGACTGCAAGAAGGGTACTCTCACTAGCCATCTTGCCCCAAGAGTACAATGAACAAAGGAAAACTCACAAATTTATTCCTTATGCATTTGGGGTAGTCCTTACTGCTGTGTCTGATCTCCGTTGGCTGGAGCCAGACCTCACAATCTAAACTAAAACCAGATTGGCTAACAACTTAAAACTTTTCTTTTTTTTTTTTTTTTTTGAGACGGAGTTTCACTCATGTTACCCAGGCTGGAGTGCAATGGCGCGATCTCAGCTCACCGCAGCCTCCGCCTCCTGGGTTCAGGCAATTCTCCTGCCTCAGCCTCCTGAGTAGCTGGGATTACAGGCATGCGCCACCATGCCCAGCTGATTTTTTGTATTTTTAGTAGAGACGGGGTTTCACCATGTTGACCAGGATGGTCTCGATCTCTTGACCTTGTGATCCACCCGCCTCGGCCTCCCAAAGTGCTGGGATTACAGGCTTGAGCCACCGCGCCCGGCCTTAAAACTTTTCTAAACAGGTAAAAGCAATGGAGAACTGGGACATGCCTGTGAGCAAGTTCACCACAGATATCTTGGTTAAAGTACAAGGACATAGAATGTACTACGTGCCTGTAAGCATGGCATATCTAACAGCTACATAGGATAGGGCTTAACAAAGTTATTAGCACACTTATTCTTAACAAGAAAACTTAAAGAGGAACTTTTCTACTTCCCACAGTTGTTATTCAAAAAAAGTGGCAGAAATAGTTCTACAGAAACCTATCTGTGACATGTGAAGGGGGAAAAAAGGAAGATTAAAGTTTAGGCGAGACAGGAAAGTCTAAGAATGAAGTTGAGACGGGCTGTGCTGGAATCTTGGACACATTATGCTCTGTCGCCTAAATATAATTCTTTTTTTGTACTTGAAAACATTGCTTATTAACTGTTTGGAGTGATAAGTAGAGACGATAAATGCAAAGACCTGTCAACAAATACAAATGAAGGCCAGGTATGGTGGCTCACACCTGTAATCCCAGCACTTTGGGAGGCTGAGGCAGGCAGATCACGAGGTCAGGAGTTCAAGACCAGTCTGGCCAACATAGTGAAACCCCATCTCTACTAAAAATACAAAAAATTAGACGGTTGTGGTGGCAGGCACCT